GGGTGCTCCCGACTCGAGAAGCGAGGCCTGCGATTCTGCACCTGCCCTGGGGAGACGGGGCTGTGCAGGTGCTGTGTGCCCGGCTCCAAGGTGCTGGCTCCCAGGGTCTTGGGCAAACTTCCTCGAGATGCGCAGCGACTCCCGTAGCTCCGGTAGAGCGCTCCGTGGCCGCTGCGCTCAAATCGCTTGGGGAAGGAGACCAGGAGCCTGAGCCCTGCTCCACAGATGAGGCACAGGGAAGCACTGACTTGCCCTTGCAGCAGAGCGAGGAGCAGGATCCAGGTGTCCTAAGCACTGGGGTGGTGCTCTGTCCACTAGGCCAGACTGTTCTGAAGAGAACAGTCCGGCCTAGTGGCTGCTGCCTGGAAGAGCACTAGGGAGGGTGAAGGGAAGGGAGAGCAGGCACCAGACCCTGCTGGGAACCCTGGATGGTAACAAGCCCCTTGAACTACTGCTATTTATGCCCTGCATTGCACCGAGGAGCCCCCGTCAGGGATCGGGACCCCAGTGCGCTAGGCGCTGGACACCTGTAACACAACACCTGGTTCATGTCCCAAGCAATCTCAGTAATGTGCCAATTATTCCTCAGGGCAAATTGATCCCAAATGAGCTGCCTGCTGCACGGATGCAGAACAAGCCATGCGCCCTGCCCTATAGGGTTGCATCCAGAAGCAAATGGGAAGACAGCATCACACATGGCAAGGGGGGGCGCTGAGGATGGCTCCCAGGGGCCTGACTCCCAGGGAGGCAGGTACTTTGGGTTGGATGCACAATAACGGGGCTCCCTGCAGGTATAACTGGAGCAGGTTCTCTGGCCAGTGCTCTCCGGGAGATTAGAGGGGAAAATGAAATGAGCCGTCCTGGTTGAAATGTCTGCGAATCCATGGATGTTCTCAGCGTCCTGCTTTCCTGGGAGAGACCTTGCCTGTGCATGGTTTCAGTGCACAAGTAGAGATCCCAAAGGAAGGGATAAGCAGCCTGCAGTTCAGAGAGGCCACAGAGTTCAGGTCCTGACTTGGAGTCAGCCACTCCCAATAATCAGACCAAGGGGCCGGTGAGACTTGCCGCAGACGAAGCCAACAGCTGCAGAGCTCAGGCCCAGACAAGGATCCAACCTTCCTGGGAATCTGTTCGGTGCTGGGAGGGCTGATCTCAGCCCTTCTCTGCTGCCAGCGTTTAAAGAGCTTAAACCTCAGGCTGTGGCCAGGTAAAAAGGGGTCATGGAACAAATTGAGACTGAATCTTAGAAACCTCTGACAGCCAGAGCTGGCTCTGGGGGAGTCTCCCAGAGGAACAGTGCCCAGGTCATTTAAAACTGGGCTAAAGTGCAGTCATGGTACCATCGTCCCTGTGTCCACTCTCCCCAAGCACCCTCTTTCCACAGATCCCAAATCACTTTACCAAGGGGGGGAGGGGGAGACAGAGAGAGACATCATTATTCCCATTTTACCAATGAGCAAACTGAGGGTAAAGCTTTGCCCACAGTCAATGCTAGGACAAATAACCCAGGAGTCCAGCCCC